GTGTGTGTGTGTGTGTGTGTGTGTGTGTGTGTGTGTGTGTGTGTGTGTGTGTGTGTGTGTGTGTGTGTGTGTGTGTGTGTGTGTGTGTGTGTGTGTGTGTGTGTGTGTGCGTATTTTCACAGCTTCAGCAGGAGTGTAATCTGCACTTATTTGCCTCTGAGAGATGGAGTGATGTTTGGATGCCAAATTGTCTGTTAATTAAGGCTTCTCGTAATGTGGTGGGTGCACACTAAGATGTACAAGTGTATGTGGATGCACATATCTATTTTGTGTGTGCAGATCCTGCCTCCTGAGATTGAGACATCCTTTCAGGCATTGGAAATAAACACACAAACACACGTATCCACTCCCTCTGCAGCAACAAGCCCTTTGGCGACAAGGCTTCACAAACTGGATAAAGTGTCAGCAACAATTCTTCAGATTCAGTCGGTTTCAACGTTTGGGAGGGGGAGTAGAGGCTGTTTGCTAAATAACTCGACAGACCTGATAAACAACATCAGGATGAAGACATTCATTTCCTGCAAATACTAGATGATGTGTTTAAGTCAGACGTTTAATAAAATGTGCACATCAAATGTATATTTGACAAGAAGGGAGTTCAATAAAGGCACACCTCTGCCAAGGCCATGCCCCAGGGCCCTGCCCGGGACTCTTTTCTTAATCCCTCTCCTGCCAGCAGTGCGAGTGCGAGTGCGAGTGTGAGTGCGTGTGCGTGTGCGTGTGCGTGTGCGCGCCAACACCCTTACCCGCAAACATCCTGCGCATGCTGGCCCGGAGCAACAGAGGTCATCATTAAAATATGATTTTTATATTTTCCCCCCAGAAGGTTTAGTAACAGTTAAGGAAGTGCTGCAGCAGGGAGACGGTGAGAGGCTTTCTAAACAAAAACGAAGAAAGGTAACGTTTTTTAAGAAGTTGATGAGGTAGAAGCTTCAGAAAAACAGTAGAGGAAGAAAGTGCTGTATTGTGTCCAAGTGGTGTTTGTCTTTTCTGTCCATTTCACATTTCTAATAAAGATGGTCCTGCCTGGAGAGAAGAGGGCTTATTACCTGGATAGATTTTAAACAATACTTACACAGATGGTCCCTTGTTGGGTTGTGTGTTGTGCAGAACGACAGGAGAATTGCAGGTTGTTCATTGGCCCATGGTACACCCTTCCACCAAGTTTTATGTGTGAGAACTAAATCCAAAGCCTTCAACGTGGTGTGTGTTTTTGGGTATGGAAATCAGCTTGGGGGCTCAGCGTCTTTCTTACCTGGCAAAGCGTGGCACTCTGACTGATTCTGGTCCCACTGACAGTTGAGATTCACCGAGCAGCTCTTGCAGTTGGCCATCTTGGTGCACACCTGCTCGTTGCGCACCGGACACTCAGTGAAGTTCCTCACGTTCTACGGACAAAGAGAGTATAAAAGAAAGGAGGACAATAAACAAAAGCTGAATTTAAGAGCAGAGATTGTTCATGCGAGTAAATATCTTCTCCACCTTAAAGATATAGGTCTGTTTGTCCTATGATAGAATTGATTGAACTCAAATTACATTATGTGGACGAAAGGAAAATGGTTTGAACTCTTCCTAAACAAAGGCACTATCAATTGATTTGAACAGTGGTGATGCACAGAAATCTCAAACTGTGCAGTGTTTGAGAAGACCAGCAGTGCTCTGCCGCCCCCTGGTGGACCACTCACAGCGGTGCAGTTGCTGGAGGCAGAGAGGCACTTCTTGTCGTCACACCACTGGCACCCGTTGGTGTTGGCTGTACAGCTGGCACAGTCTGAGAACCGGTAGCAGCGCTCGTCCACTGTGACTAAAAGAGGGAGCGGGACAACGGAGAGCAGCAATGAGTGTGTATATGGATGAGGTCCATTTCATGATAAGATTTTTTGGGGAAGTAAAACAATAATATGTCCTTAGAAATAGGAAGGAACACTTTGTAACTCAGCTTGTATTACATTTGACAACTCAAAAACAGGAACATCCTGTGAAAGTACTGAAAGATTAAGTCTATTATTAGTACCAGCCAAAGCTGACAACTTAATTCCTGTGTAGTCACTGTAGAGGAAAAACCTGGAGTAGGATAAATGCTGGGAAATATTAATAATTTCAAAAATAGAAAAGAGGAATCCTCTCTCTCACCAGCTTTAAGGGGGCAGAATGGGGCAGGAATAATGCTCCCATTAGCCATGCTGGGTTCCCAGGGGAAACAGTGACCTCTGCTCCAGATGCAGCGCACCCCTGGCCCAGCCTTGACACACCCCTCCTCTGCCAAGAAGGCCTGGCAGCTGGGGGGTCGGTAAACAAGCACATCGTTGAGCAGCATGCCGGAGAAGCCCCCGAACACGAACATGGACCTGGATATGGGAAAACATGAGAACAGAGTGTAAACAAGATTGTTATTTTAAATTCCTTCAGGAAGGGACAAATCAGTTATCAGAAAGTGCAACAAAGTCAAAATAATGAAAGGACATAAAGACGGAACATTCTTTCATTGTGTTTGATAAAAGATAGTTTGGGAAGAGGTCAAATGTATGATAGAAGAGATTTTATCATTGCAGGTAATCATGGAGCCTAAGTGTTTTGTGTTAGGGTGTTACCCAAAAGAACACAAGGGTTAGGGTTAGGGTTAGGGAAGAGAGAACAAATATTTTTTAAATGTATGTCGAAACATATGGCAAGACGCATAATAGCACTTTTCATGGAAAAATGTTAACAGTCCAAGTATTGGCTAAAAGAACTGTCTGCATGTGTCTCATTAGAGAAAATAACCTGTTCAATTCAAGGAAAACAAGAACTATTAAAAAAAGTATGGGACCCTTCCCTTAACTATCTGGAACATGCGGATCTAGAGAGTACACTGGGTCAGCAAATTGGAGATGATTAATGTTCCTCTGCTGGGAGAAGGATAAAAGCTTTTCATATCTGCCTACATGTTTGTGAAGTTCATTTTATTTATTTATGTGACTTGTAATGTACTTCATTTTGTTATATCTTGTGGATGTTTGTGTACTGTCTTATATATTGTCTATATATGCTAAAACAATAAAGAAAGGACATAAAGACATTTAAAAGGATGCTGGGATGGTAGTTTGTTTGTGGCATCTGTCCAGTGTGTTTTAGTTGAAACGCAAAAAGTGAGACTCACCCATTGCTAACCACAGCAGAGTGACCAAAGCGGTTGACATCCCTGTGCAGGTCTGGTTTAGGCAGGACCCTCCACTCATCACAAGCTGAGGAAAACACGAGAACACATGTCAGAGACCATTTTATTTGTGCTTTTAAAAATTGACACTGTACATTTCTGCAAATACCCGAGACCAGAGACAACACACATTATTCAAGCTAATGAAAACACCACTGGAGGCTGTTTAAGAACAAGAGTCCTACCAATGTCGTAGGCTAGGAAGTCCGCAGAGAAACACTTGGCCCCGTTGCTGAGCGATGTGTCGTTATGTGTGTTGCCGCCGAAGAAGAGCAGGGTGCCGCTGAGGAGCACAGCCGAGTGCAGGTACCGTGGAGAGCCGCTCTCTCTCAGGATGAACCTGGAACATATGCGCGACAAGTGTGTCAAGGGCAACTGTGACAAGAAAACGTGTAACCGACAGTGTCACATACACAGACATGCATGCATAATGAATATCCGTTGATCTACCATGTCCGCGTGTTAGCGTCGTAGCGGTAGAGGTCGTCAACAAGGCCGTATTTGTTGGCAGGAAATGCCTTGTAGCCTCCGTGAACATACACACTGCCGCTGGCACTGTCGAACGTGCTGCTGTGGCCGTAACCTCCCTGGGGAGAGGCTCCTTGAGTCTTGGGTATTACCCACGTGTTGGATCCTTAAAATATAGAGGGATTCATTTAATACATGTGAAAAAAGGGAAGGAATCAAATGATTTGCAAAGTCTAAATTCTTCAGAGACAGATGGGCTCTTCACCCTTAAAAAATCTTGATATTCTTTGGCAGGAAACAGACGGGCATGAGTGGTTGGCAGCAGTTTGTTTTGTGCACTTATTTTGTAGATTTTGATTTCCTACATTTAACAAATTGTAAAATTACAAATAGGCTACAGTGCTTCCAAGCTTCTTGTATCGCAACATTTAATTGTGAAATGTTGAGTTTATTGTGAGTTCACACACAAGTTGTTTTGCTTGTAGGTTTTCAATTGTTAAAAAGAAATATTCCAAAGTACTAAAAATGTTTGACAAACCATTACCAGACTCAGTGTGACTGCAGTGGGTGTGCAATTGAGCTCAGTTTGATCAAAACATTATCAGAAAAACCAGCTGTCAAACTGTTTTCTCTTATTAGCAGGGGATATTCATATTATTGCCAATTAAAGTTGCCGGGAATTTCTGTTTTGCACTGTAATTAAATACCACGCCTTACCCAACAATCAGGGTTCGAGTTATGTGGGAGCCAATGGGAGCTGGGCTCCCATAAGGAGGGGTCTGAGCTCCCACGGACGCAGTGAAATTATACATCTGTAGGGGTCGCTAATACATTACCAACAACCATTATTTGAATCACAAATAATGCATGTGTCAATGTAATGAGTATTATTTACGTTAACGAGGTAAATAGGCTAAAAGAAAAACATGTTTTCCAAAAGAACTACGCATCTCTTGAATGACAATATGCCTGCACTTCACCTCCAAGGTGCGCAATCTATGCCTGTGTGCGTGCTGCACGAGCCGAGATGAGGTGTGTGTGCGTAGTTGAACCTTTTCATATTTAAGTGTGTAGCAAGTAGAGGGCTGCTGCTGTGTGTGTAGGCCGCGAGAGAGAGAGAGAGAGAGAGAGAGAGAGAGAGAGAGAGAGAGAGCGCCGGTTACTTTTATTGTTGTTGATAGCATCTGGTGCTAGCTAGCCACGCTAATGGATTTAAGGAGATGTTTCAACAATAAGGTGGAGTGAGAGCTCTCTACTGTCAGACTAAGAGAGGTAACTACAGCTCAGGTGAGGTTAAGGACTCTTGAGTGTTTAGATAGGCCTAGTCAGTTATCTCAGTGGGTCTCAAACGGTTTGGTCAACATTTATGTAAACACAGTTCCATTTGAGGGGAGAGTGATTAGAAAAATATGCATGATTAAAAAGAAGCACATGTTAACTAGGTGAAAAAAGGTACACTTTTAAAGTCTTTGCTGGTGCCTCAAAGAGGAGCAGGGGGATAGGAGGGGGACAGGTGAGGCTGGTTCAGGAGCACAGACACACTCGCAACTATAATGAACC